AAAAATCTATTTTCTCTATTCAATCTTTCCTTTCTGTATTATAGCCACATTTTCACTGTCCTGGACTAATTTCCAAAATTCCTCACATGTCTTATGTTTTACTATGTAGATCAAGAATTTCTTTTGAGAAATAAGGTCCTACAGAGCAGAAATACACAACTTATGGCCTACTTAGCAGATTCATCCTACTTTCTATTTCTCTGTGACTCATGAGTGCCATTTTTCTTATTCTTTTGATCTTTTTGGTTCCCTCTCTCCCTACCCTGCCCACTATCAAAAACAGATCAACTAAAAAACCAAAACCAAAACCAAAAGAATAGATCAACTAGACAAAAAAATCAACAAAAAAAATCACTAAACCAAACCTTCAAACAAATGGCCATGATAAATAACTACAATGTTTCACCCAACAACCACAATATACACATTCTTCTCAGCAGCACATGGAACTTTCTCCAAAATAGATCACATGCTATCCCATAAAGCATGCTTAAGTAAATGCAAAAGAATTAAAATTATACCATGCATATTTTCAGTTCATAGTGCAATGAAACTAGATAATGGCAAAAGACATCACAGAAATTATTAAAACACATGAAAACTAAATAATACCTTCTTGAATAATCAATGCATTACAGAAAACAATCAAGAAATTATTTCATAGAATCAAACAATAAAGCCAGTACAACATACCAGAAATCTATGAGACACAATAAGAGAGAAGTTTACAGCTGTCAAACAGTGAGTCCAAATACAAAACCTAATAATGTGTCTCACATTCCTAGAAAAACAAGAAAAAGCCAAATCCAAAAGTAGTACTAGGAAGGAAATTAGAAAGATCAAAGCAGAAATTAATGAAATTAAGACAAAAAATACAAAGAATTGATGAATCAAATAGCTGGTTCTTTAAAAGAATAAATAAAATTGACAAACATCTAGCCAGTCTTACCAAAAAGAGGAAAGCAAAGACCCAAGCTACTGCAATTAGAAGTGAAAAAGGCAAAATCACAACAGACTTTGCTGCAATCTAGAAGACCATGAGTAACTAATGGCCTCTAATAAAATGGAGGATTCAAAAGAAATAGAACCTAAA